TGATTCTGTGATTCATCGACAACTCTACCTCAAATCGACAGTTTTACGCGTGTACTCCTCTCCTTGATTTCATCACATCATGGATCCCCGATCGCACCCTTCGCGGCCTCCCTCCACCAGCATGCCCCAGGGCTCTGCGCCACTCTCCTCGACTCCCATCTCGAGTATGCCTATGCCGCAGTACTCGATGCAGCCCCAGTATCCGGTGTCGCAGCCGCATACTCTGCCTCCCCTCCAGCCGCACCACACTCAGTCGCCCGCGCCGCATCCGTACATGGGCCAGCCGTACCGACCGGACCTGTCGCGGTTTCCCGCGTCCACCCACGACGTGTATGGAGCGTCAACCGCCCCGATCATGCCGCACACGACTGTCGGTAGCCATTCGCCATCGTACCTGAGCCACCCTAACCACTCACAGGCCCACCCTTCTCAGTCCTACCCGCCTCCTCCCACAAGTGTGTTGCCTCCCGCGTCAACCGCGCAGAGCTACCCGCAGCCCATCGCGCCCGCGCCCCCGCGTGACCGCCGTGATTTCAATGGCTTGCCTTCCGGTGCCTTCAGCTACTCTGATGGCAAGTCCTGGGGTATGAGCCCTGAGGTCAACGGTGCCAACGGCTCCCCTTACGGAAAGGAACAGCCGCGCACGCAGGTCGTGGGCTCCCAGGGCCGCCGTGGTATTCTACCGAGCGTTCCGGGCCGCGCAACTCCGGTCTCCAACGGCGTCAATGGCGCTGCTAAGAGCACAACTATCCCCGCTAAAGACGCGGATGGCAAATTCCCTTGCCCACACTGCAACAAAACCTACCTTCACGCCAAGCACTTGAAGCGCCATCTGTTGAGACGTGAGTTTTTTTTGAGTCTTTTGTTCTTAATATCGGGTTACTGGAGGCATTGGACCCAATGTGTTCTACTTTACCTACTCTACAGAAAGGATTTATTGGCTAATGACGCGTCAAAATCGCTTTTTTTCTTACAGACACCGGTGACCGACCCTACATGTGTGTTCTCTGCAAGGATACCTTCTCTCGCAGTGATATCTTGAAGCGCCACTTCCAAAAATGTTCGATCCGCCGGGGCAACCCAACGGGCGCGACTCACTTGTCGCACCCTCAAGCCCATCTGAAGCGGTCCCAGCAGCAAGCTGCTCAGGCTGCGGCGGCTAACCCCGCCAAGCCTCTTCAGGATGAGGTTAGTAACACCGTCCCGGTCTCCAATGGTGTGATGGGTGCACAATTCGGCGATGGGGCCGTGAATGGAAACGGCATGGCCCATGGCCATCAGCAGCATCCAATGGGATTCACGATGTCGCCTGTCAACGGCATGAACCGTCCTCATGAAGACGCGTTCGCCGGTCAGGCCTCGCGAGCCTCCTGGATGGCTGCGCCCAAGCAGAATCCGTACCTCATGCAGCATGGTGCCGACCCCAATGGACAACAACTGAATGTTGATCGTTCTCATGAACAGGTAAAGCCCCTGGTCGTCCCTGACCACAAACACCCGGCTATGCCCGGTCCCCATTCTGGTCAGCCAGGTGTTGACTGGACTTCAATGTTTCAGCACGGTGCCCCCGCCGCCGATGGTTATATGAACCACGTTTTCCCCCACTCCATGGCCGCCGGCCAGGAGTCGATCCACGCCCCCGTCGACGCCGACCGCAAATTCTACCCCGCTACGACCGCGGGTGGCCCCGAGAGTGGCATGAACGGACTCTATCTGGCCTCAACTACTATGGGCGGTGATGGTAAGCGATACTGAAATTGGAAAATCTGATGGCGATCATTGCCGGGGAACATCATGCTGATGGTGATTTCCCTTAGGTACCGTCCAGCCTGCTCGGCAGTAAATGGCCATGAGGAGGAGTGGAAGACGATAGGGCAAAGAACGAATGAGGAGAGAGAACGAGAAGTCTTTCGACCTCTTTATCTGTGGGTTCCCACCAATGGAACTCCCGCAGACAACTGGGTTGAAAGCTTTTGAAAAGTCATTTTCGGTTTTTACGTTGGTGAAGTGTTTTCTAGGCGGTCCATTGGTTTTCTTTTTGGTTTCACAGCCAAGAGAAACCTTTCCTCAAGAATTTGCGACCTCCGCTCGTCTCTCTGATCCATTCGGGCTTCTGCACGACGCAGCTCTGCCGTGGCGTTTCTTTGTATCCGGTCTTATCATTCCCATTATGGTTTCCTTTTCGATTATGTACCTGTCGCGTCCTTGATGGCTTTCGTTTTCCATAATTTGTTTTTCTTTATCCTCTTGTTTCTTCTATCTCTTCTCATCCTTCCCGGTTCAGATCCCATCTGGTGTGGGTCCGCATTCTCCTTTGCAACGGGCGAGTTTTACATGGTGGTTGAATTGCGAGTCCGGTTTGTTTCGTCTTTTTACTCATTTTTTTTACCCGCTTTGATTTGATTCACGTCCCCTCGATTCGATTCGATTCGATTCGAATGAGTGAGTGAGACGGTATGGCGGGTGGTTTCGTTCGGCGTCCACACTATAGACATGGGCATGTGTTCCTTTTGCGCGAATGTTCGACAATCAGAAAGACGAAAAGCTTTGCGGGACCGGTTGACTGTCGAAACGAAATACCTCTCGAGTCTTTCTTCCAGTGGCTGCATGTCCCCTTTGTCTGTTTTACTCTGCTTTCTTCTCTTTTCCTTCCCGGTGCATCTGCATGGCCTCGTTTCTGTAAGTACAGTCGGCACGAAACGGACATAACTGCGCCTCGGGCTTGTTGAGGTGTGATTTAGGGTGTTGTTCTCTCACGTTGTGTTTTATCTTTACCTTTTCCCTTTCTCTCTTCTCTCTTTTGCGTTTCATTTTAGGAGGGTATTTGTTCTACTTGAAAAGCATCTAGAAAATAGACCGGATGTTTAACATTCCATGTTCAAGCTTATCGAAGTCCATGAGTTGAAGTAGTAGATTAAAGTACGAGTATATCCAGAAAGGTGGGTTTTCTTTGCTGGCATGGATGTCTCGGAATAGTACCTAGGCAGAGCCCAATACTGATGTACTCGTACTAGTACTCCGTATACGTGCTTTGAACCTTCTCTAAGGTACTTTAAATCAAAGTTCACACTCGGTATCAGCCAAAGAACAAGAGTATTTCTGGGTAGAAGACACAAGAAATGCAGTTCTGTATGGTTTGTCCATCTTCATCTGCACCACATGCTCATGCCCATGCCCATCATCTGTTGCCGCCGAGCCCCCCTAGGCGTCATGCCCATAATACGACGACTCTGATTGGTCTGTCGGGGTGAATAGGGTCGGGATTCTTCCTCCCCGCCGTTCGCTCCGCTTTTTTGCGAAACCGGTCGAGAGGGCCGAATATTATCGCGGATCCCCCTCCAACTCCTCCATCTTATCTTCCCCTCTCCACTTATTCCCCTCCAACTCCATTCTTCAATTTTCGATCCGACCTGGACTTTTCTTCTCCCCCTGGGCTCTCTCCAGCCTGGGAATAGCATCTCATCATCATCATCATCATGTCCACCAACCGTCCATTCCTCTCCAACTTCCTGGCCGCCTTCCGCGCCCAGTCAACCTACAAAGCCGCCTCACAATCATCTACCGGCACCCCCACACTCTCATCTGCACAGATCTCTCAAAGCGCCCGCGCCATAGCCACCAAGGCCGCCAACTCCGCTTCGGCAGCGTCCGCAGCCGGGCCTTCGTCAAGCGCCCACCACGCCCACCACCATCACACTTCATCTACATCTTCTTCCTCGGGGCCAGCGACAGCGACAGCAGGCCCGGCCGGCTCGGCTGCAGGATCAAATCACTCGGCGCCATCTCACCACTACCACCATGCGGCTCCAGACACCCCGCTCACCGCATCCCCGCCCTCAACACCATCATCATCATCATCAACGCCGATCCCAATCAATCGCGGCCCGGAGCGTCAACGCCGCGGCAGCGATTCCTCTAGTGGATCGGGCGGTTTCCGTGATGCTCTCGGGCCCGAGAAGTGGTATATCGGCGGCCGAACACCCGCTGGCGAAGAGCGCTTCTACCGCCTAGGCATGGTGACCAAGGGCGGTGGCCGACTAGGTGGTGGTGGGAGAGTTGGAAGCATCGACCAGTTGAGCCTGTGAACTTTCCATGTTCGTGTTCTATTTTTAGTATCTTGTTGGAACTTCGGACGACCAAAATCGGTGTTGGGATTCGCTTTCTGTGTGCCATCTCTCTCTGCCTCTACACCCCTCTCTCTCACACACACTTCTGCATGTCGTTAATGCTACGCTACGCTACGCCATCTCTTACGATTGCATGTCCGGCTGTGTTTTCTTTCCTTCTTCTTTTCTTTACTTTTGCGGATTTTGACTTGGGCCATGGTCTTTTCTGGTGTTAGATACTTTGACTGGGCGTTTTGAGAATGGGCGTTGGATAATTTGTTTGGAGTGATTATGCCTTTTCAGGCTGGGAGATTTGGCTTTTCTTGATGGATGTACAAGAAAGGAAAAAAAGATATACACATTTGCAGTTTACAACGGTGTGGGTTCTACCTGTTTCTCCATTCATCTCTCTTCGTTCGTGGCTCTGCTGCGCTTTCACAAGGTTGGTGGTGATTCGTGGTGATTACTTCGCCGGGTTTTACATTCTAGTTTCCTTTTGAAGTGGGTCTGGATTTCATGTACAGCCAAGTCCAGATTGCATTTTTTTCATTATTCTTCGAGATTATGTCAAGAATTACATGAGCTAGTCTTGATGTACAAACGAAAGCAAAACCTTCGTTAAACCATTGCTGTATAGTAATATTGATACTAGTAGTCTCCTCTAATCGTGATCTGATATCATGCAAAATTAACATAAAATGATTTACGCTCCCAGTTGAGACTCCTCAAAATAATTCACCAATCAAACAACCCCACGGCCAGCCCTGGGAGAACTCCCTGCCCCGAAAAGAATCCGAGAAAGCGACAGACGATCATATCACCTGCTGCGTCGTACAGTGCAACACACCCCCAGTCCTAGGCAACGCATTCACGGCAACCTGCCTAACCTCCCTCTCAGGAACCAAGCCTTGCAGCGTCTCCAAAGCCCGCCGATCCATCTCCACATCCCCAAACGCAGGAACCACCAACCCCCCCATTCGTGAAGTAGAAATTCACATACGAAGCCGCAACATCCGTCTCCTCCCCGGGCACATCGCCCTGGACGAGCGTCGGATCAGGCTCCTGAATATCAATAACCTCAAGCTTCCGCCCGCACGCATCAACCGCCTCGTCCAAGATAGCGCGCATCTCATGATAAACGTCCCAAAACACCTTTTTACACTTCTGATGCGGTTTGCCCACAACAACAACCCCACCCCGAATAAACCGCGCCTCGGCATCGATATGATAATCCGTAATATCTAGCCCCTCCCGACCAGGAATCCAAATGAACGTGCTCACGCCGAGCAATCTGCTCAATTCGGTCTCGATCTCGGACCTTGAGAGCCCCGCGTTCCGCGAGGACACTGTCACACTACTCTCCATCGCCATAAAGGTTCCTTCCCCATCCATTTCGATCCCGCCGCCTTCAAGACGGACTTTCGAAATAACCCGCGGCACACCCGCGCCCTCGAGTTCCAGGACGCGCGTTGCGAAGGCGGCGTTTTCCCTTCGTCGTTCGGCGTCTAAGGATCGGCCAGTCCGATCCGTCTGGTAGGGCGCCTTTCTTGTCCGGACTTGGGTTGTAGAGTAATTCGCCGGTGCTGTTGCCCCATTCGCAGAATTGGAAGTCGATTGCGTGGCGCTCGGTTGGGTCTTCGGCGCTGCGGACGTACATGGGGCCTGTATCGCGGACCCAGATGTGGTTTGTTGGAGCTGGAATGAGGGTGATGCGGGATTGTTCGAGTTCTGTGGGTGTGGTTGTGTTGGATAGGCGTTTGGTCAGAAGTTCTTGTGCTCGGTCTTGGTCTTCTGGACGGACGTGGAGGCGTACGGGCTCGAAGTGGGCGATTGTCGCTGCGAGGTCGATTATCTCTGTGCAGGTCTGGTTGTAGAGGGCTGGGAAGGTGGAGGCTCGGGATGGGAAGCTGAGGATTGTGGCGAGGTGGGGAGTTGTTTCGGGGAGATAGATGTATTGTTTTTTGTTGGTGTCTGCCATTGTTGCGGTGCAGATGGGTGGTTTAGAGGTTGTTGGGAGTGATTGTGTGTCGTAGATGAGGTTCAAGTTGGGGTAATGTGTGGAGTTGAGCAGTGTGGTCGATATTACTCTAGGGTTGAAGGTCAGTGACCCGTTCTTTGGCAATGGTTCTGTGGATGGGATGGATGGCAGGACGAGTGGAAGCTACTCATGGAACATTGAACTTACCTTGATCTTGAAAGTCACGTCAATTGGGTATCGAAGCTTGTTGAATTGAGTTGGAGGGACAGAAACTGGGTGGTGAGGAGTGGATGGATAAGAAGATATTATATGCCTTGCTAACCATAGGCCTTTCCACAAGATCCAATCTCAATTGGCGCATTCTTAAAAGCTCCTCCCCAGACTTTGATCGCGGACCCCGCGGAGCCCTTCAGTGACGTCCTGCCTGCTGTTAACCTTAAAGGGAAAGTTCTGGCGATCTGCGACCCACTTCTTCCATCCCATCTGCTGGATTCGGGCATTATTTAGAGTTGATCTGTCGTTGCTTCAATGCTTGCTTCGCTCAGTCCATATCAATTGCAATCGAATTGCCTATTGTGGTAGGTATTTAGGTCCTCAATCTTGTCTTGAATGCTTCAAAACTGGACTTCCATGAACACCGAATCGCAGTGCCGAATATCCATCCCGCTGCTCAGCCCGATCCCGGTGAATATCGCACACATAGGGAGTCCCTCCAAGAAAATCGCATACCTAGGTACTTTGACACTGGCTGCCGAATTAGTCGCATCTACCAAGTTGATTTGATCGATTATTCGGCTGGGATGAGCTATTAGTGGCCCAATGAGAAGCATATTTCCTTAAAGGGTTGAGGGTATATCGACCGCCAATAATTTAATCATCAAATCGGACTACACTTCTTCCAATTAGAGAAAGCTCTCTAGGACACTTCCAAGGTCTTATAATTCTTGCAGATGCTCATCTTATTGGAACTGAAAAGACTTGCTTCTCTGAGGTATTGCAGTCTTCTCTCATTGCGGTAATAATGATAGACGAATAGAGGCAGAGACGGCTGGTGTTAATTCACGCGTACCACCACGCGAGTCTTGTTGAGTTATTCACTCGAAAGAAACGAAAAGTCTATACGATGGAAATGATGATAAATTTGAAGGGAGTGACAACTTGAAACCAAGCGATATCTCCAAGATCTCCATCTTGTCGCATGTTGAGGTTCGAGCTATGTCTCGCAGAAAGTCTACCCAAAAACTCCATGTTTGGTCTAAAAAATGTACTAGTAGTAATCGAGCCTGGAGGTGAATGCTCAGACACTCGGAATATGCATCGGGAACTGGAGATTCTATCCCACATCGCCTACCAAGAATATCCGATCGCTATGCATCTGCGGTTCCCGGTCATTCTTGCGTACTCACGCCAAAAATTAGTACTAGATGCCAGAATATCAGCTTGCTGTGTGTTTCATATAATGTATCATCAAACCATAGACGTCAACACTGGACCCCTACTTTATCAGAGAATATAATTTAGTGTAATATGGACTGGGGGTGTCGAGTTTGGGCCTAGTGGCGCCCTCGTTTCATTTCGGGTCGACATCCTGGACTGAGTCGGCTGACCTGAAATCAGCAGGATAAATCGGGCATCTGTTAGGCATCACTTCCTAAGAAATGGTTAGAAGGATTGGGGTTGATCTTTGTTCCTCTTTTCCATCATTTGCATCCCGTCACCCTGCAATCCGTCTAGATATCTCTATTTCCAATACAACCCATTTGTCCTGACCGACTGTAAGTGGATAACAACCCCGTTTTCTCCATTTTTGATACCAAACTCGCTCTAAAAGAAGACTACGGCTTAAGACCCCAGGCCCAAGCGCCTAAAACTATGGCGTGGCTCGAGTTTCTCACATCTCCCTTCCTCTTCCGTGGCGATTACAAGGTCAAATGCCCTGGATATGACAATCAAGGCTACCGGTGCGTCTGCACTGGGTTTCAAATGGCAGGATATCATCCAGAAGGAGGCTACCCTTGTTGTAGTTGTGGCCACGCAGAAGCCATACACGACGGTTGATACCAAGTGTTTTCAAGGTCTATTGTCTTGAGTGAATTTTATTCTATTCAAAACATGTATCTTCTCTTGATCACATCAGATGCCTTTTCGGCCACAGCATAAAGAGTGCTTGTCAAGTGTCCACAGATTTGAAGTGGTAATACAGATGCATCAATCACCCGGACGTTCTTGGTCCCGTAAACCTTGAGATCGCCGTTCACAACTCCACCCTTGTTCCGGGGAAGCATGCTAGCAGTTCCAACTGGGTGGAAGTTTGATCTGTCTAGATGGGGAGTCAGTAGGCAGCCCTTTAGCGTAATTGGGGTAAAATTTGAGGCACTGACAGTTCTTCTTAACCCAGCTATCCCAGGTAGACTCGGATGCATTAACAGGAACATGTTCCAGTCCCGGTGAACGCTCGTTTCCCACAAGATCTGCCAAGGGAAGAGTATTGAATAACTTCCGGATATACCAAGCCACATCGGACTGAGTAGTGAGATCTTGCTCGAACATAAAGTAATTCGGGTTGATTGCTGCCGGTGCCGAGGCGTTTGCGGATTTGATGTGTATGCTTCCTCTTGAGAAAGGGAGTAGAGGCCAATATTCGACAGAAAATGAGTGCGCGATTGGGAGGAACACGATCTCCGCAAATGGGACTTTTGACCTGAATATCATGTCCCACTGGAGCTTAAATACAGCCAGAAGGTTGGATGCTTGAAGCGCACCGTTGGAGGAGTTGGCGACGGTTTCGGCATAGTCGGCGAGGCTGCTATTAAAGTGGGAGGCGACGGTCGAAAAGCTGTCTCCGTATATATGGTCGGCAGACGGGAGAGCGGAGAACGTCGGTGAGCCTAGCCAAAATTCATTTCCCTCGTAGGAGAGGCCGTTGTTTGTTTGATCCTGCAAGTTTTCTCCAACGGCGGGAATGTTGACTTTGACGGGTATATCGTGTTTGCTGAGAATATTGGGGTTGCCGATGCCGGATAATTCCAAGAGTATAGGTGACTTCAAAGACCCAGCTGATAGGATCACCTCCTTTGAAGCGTATATTATTTGCTTTCCATTTATATTGCTAACCTCGACTCCACTTGCGACTGCATCGCCGTCGGAATCGTTGCCCCATATTATTTTGTTCGCTTGCGTATTCGTGATAATCTTGAGGTTAGGGCGATTTTGATATGGCCAGTAGTAGGCTCTGGCGGCATCCTGGCGAATGTTTGCCTCGCGGTCGATTGTATTCGGATGAGAGGTTAACCCGACCATAAGGCCACCATTAACGTCGCGATTATAAGGGACACCTATTTGGTTAAGAGATTCGTCAAGTATGGGAAGCACGCTGCCGTTGGTTAAGAATTTCGGCCAGCCGACTTTCATCGGACCATTCTTTCCATGATACTCCGCGTAATAATCTGCGCCGGACGCAATTTGGTCTTGGGTGGGTACCTGGAATCCTTCTGATTTCTTGTAGTATGGAAAAAGGCTCTGCCAATTCCATCCTTTGTTCCCAAGTAATTCCCAACTGTCAATCTGCACGTTCTGCGCCCGAGTGTATGCCATCCCTGTCCCAAGGAATCAGAATTAGCACGAGGAGAAGAATTTATGGTAAATATCATAGGATCATCACTTGCCGTTAATAGTGCTTGTACCTCCTATCGCCTTTCCAGCGCGCATAGTCTGCTTTGATCCCCCGGCGTACTTTTGGCCCTCGGTTTCGTATTGCCAGTCAATAGCTGTTCCAAAGCTCTTACCATATCCTGAAACGCTAGTCACATCTGAATTGTTAAAAACCGAATCTCCAGCTTCGATAACAGCGACAGTGACGTCGCTCATTTCGGAAAGTCTGTTGGCAACCACCAAGCCACTTGTACCTCCTCCAACAATAACAAAGTCATAATGTGATTTTTTCTCTTCTTGGGCCCGTGCATTCACTGATATTAAAAAGAATATTGCGATCGCAAGTTTTGATCGGCACATTTTCGCTTGACAGCAAGGTGGTAAAGGAAAATTGCAATGGAGGTGAAGATCAATATCTGACAGATGTAGAAAGTTCGGGTCCAACGACGAAATAATTCAACAGCGTCTCATCATATTCTCCTGGCCATCTCAAACTAGGGGCTGCTTCCAACCCTGGAATGTGTACTTCGTCCTTTGAAGCGATGGCGCTTAGTCATGTAACATGTTTTGGCAAAGTCTACCAAGCCTACCGATTAAGTAACCAATCATCTCAATTATCTCCCCATTCCATCTGATTCAGTGTAACCGGGGAGACTTGGGAAGATGGCAGGAAAACAGTAAAAAAGTAAACGAAGAAGAGGTGTACGGGTTATAAGTGAAGTAGTTTGGAAGCACTGTATTCAGTGCTATGGAAAGGAGTGGAGTGGAAAGAAGGAGGTGAGGAATGACGCTATGGAGAGCTGCCTAACAAGAGCACCCATTACGAACAGTTAAATGTCAGCTGATCGCCAGCTTCTGCTCCAGGGACTTTAGTATCACAAACGATTAAAGTCGAGGATGACTGTTTATTGAATGAGTGCTACTATGTGTGGTGGGCACCTATACACATAGCGGAAGTAGGACAAATAGCTGGTCTACTAATCGGAAAGAGTGGTACGGAGAATACTACTGGGCCTATTGCCCAAAATTGGGCTAGTCTTTTCCGACCGACTGATACTAATTTTTAAAGATTAAGCAATATAATGAAGCGTGGTTTAAATTAGTAGCCTGTAATGCTGGAATGGAGTAAGCTTGTCACATACCTACCTATCTTGATCTCTCATGCGGACACCTATACTATCTCTTTGATACTAGTACTAGTAGTATAATAAACAAGGATATGATATAGTCTTTGCCATGTTTCAAGTTGTAGCCATGCTTTGTTTACAGACAGCTGACAACTATCTGAATCGGTTGACAACTTGAGTTTCTCAATGCGTATCTAGTAGTATGGGTAGCCTGAGGTCCAGGTGACTGCAGGTAGAGGAATACTTGGGTAGAGAAGTAACTACCAGGTTATCCCTTGGGATACTCAACTAGTCGTAACTAATATCAAACACTGGAGAGCAGAATGTAAGCTGTACCTCTACGCAGTGTGCCTTGTGAGGTCTGCTGGCATGAGAATAGGGCGATCCGATGCGATAGGATTTAAGCTCGCTTATCTTTTTTAAGTCCTACTTTTGATTCGTGGATTGCAAACTAGACTACCCTAGGGTAGATAGTGGTGATTCTGGAATTTATGTCTGGAGGAGATGGAGGAGATGGAGAAGATGGAGCGGTTCGTGCCGAGAATTGCGCGAGGAAGGTGCAGTGCTGCCTTAAGGTATAGGATGGCTGAAATGAGATGAGATCGCACAGTCCCGCAGAAGTTGACTCCCTTCATTTCCGGAAATGAAAATGCAAATGTAATTGCAACTGCGAAATCCCGACCAACAATCCCTCAGAGAATGACGATCGCAGGTGGCCGCGAGACCAGGCACAGGTGGAGGTCGCCGACGGAAGTGGAGGCCTTCAAATCCCTGGGTTCCCACAGGTCCAAAAAAAGACGAGTAAGGGAGCAGCAAAGTGGACTCGGGATTCGCATTTTCGCATTTTCGGGTACGGATTTCGGATAATCGCAAGTTACTCCCCGCCAAGGAGACAACGCGAAATTGACACGTCGGTTGGCCTCCGAGAGTCTGGGGTAGAGAGGGTGAGTACTAGCTGGATGGACCTGCTCACCCCCGGGATTTGTGGTCAGCAAATCCCAGGTGGCACATCAGTTTGAACTGTTTGCAGGGGACCGATAAGCATAAGCTCTCCAATCCCAATGCTAGCCCAAGATTATCTCTCGAGGTGTGGGGGCGCGGCCGTCGTGCGGGCATCGGAGCCCGCCGATGCCTTCACTCGCCCGCGCGCATCAGACCATGTGCTTTTCAAATAAATACTTTACGTCGCCGCTACCGTTCTTAACTCCAGATCAGCTCGTTGAGACTCCCAATTAAATATTCCCTACCTCAGGTCCCGTTTCGACACCCTTCGATTCCTCGATCTTATCTCCATCTCCATCTCCAACTCCTCCCCCAAATTTCACAATGAGTGCTCTCGCCGCCGCCCGCTATGGTAAGGACAATGTCCGCGTGTACAAGGTGCACCGCGATGAGAAGACTGGTGTTCAGACCGTTGTTGAGATGACCGTCTGCGTTCTGCTCGAGGGTGACATCGAGACCTCGTAAGTACTTCCATCCATTCATTCCAGTTAGTTGGAGACTTGCGGCGAAGATACCTTATCTGCGCGCGGGGACGCGCTTCTCTCAAGGGTGCAGCTAGACACGCAGCTAACAGAACTATTTTACAGCTATACCAAGGCCGACAACAGTGTCGTCGTCGCTACCGACTCCATCAAGAACACCATCTACATTACCGCTAAGCAGCAGCCCGTTACTCCCCCGGAGCTGTTCGGCTCCATCCTCGGCAACCACTTCGTCGAGAAGTACAGTCACATCCACGCCGCTCACGTCAACATTGTTACCCACCGTTGGGTGCGCATGGATGTTGATGGCAAGCCTCACCCTCACTCTTTCGTCAAGGAGGGTGGCGAGACCCGCAATGTCCAGGTTGACGTCCACGAGGGCAAGGGTATTGACATTCAGTCCTCCATTAAGAACCTGACCGTGCTCAAGAGCACCGGTTCTCAGTTCCACGGATTCCTCCGTGACGAGTTCACCACCCTCAAGGAGACCTGGGACCGTATTCTCAGCACTGACGTTGCCGCCGACTGGCAGTGGCGCCGCTTCAGCAACCTTGCTCAGGTCAAGGCCAACGCCCGCCGATTCAACCCCGCTTACGAGGTTGCCCGCAACACCACTCTCAAGACCTTTGCCGAGGACAACAGCGCCAGTGTGCAGGCAACTATGTATAAGATGGGAGAGATCATCCTCGCCGCCGAGCCTCTGCTCGACACTGTCGACTACGCCCTGCCCAACAACCACTACTTCGAGATTGGTAAGTGCTATATAAACTTTCCAACTATGAACTGCTTGAAACCAGACTAACCCATTCACAGACCTCAGCTGGCACAAGGGCACCAAGAACACTGGCAAGGATGCCGAAGTTTACGCCCCCCCCAGTCCAACCCCAACGGTCTCATCAAGTGCACCGTCGGCCGAGCCAACCAGAAGGCCCGCCTGTAAATGTCCCCGCATCGGTCGAAACCGACTTCGGATTTCTTTGTTAGCATGGAGTTTCCCTGTACATAGTATGTCTCTATATACCAACCACTGGGAGTGGATCGACACGGCCCAATGTCATTTCGGAACACATTTCTTTTTTATTTCCATTCGGTCTGCTATATAAGTACATTTCAAGAAGAGACCTTTGTAGTTCAAAAACCATGAGAAAAGAAAACATAGAAGAGAAATGTCACTCCCAATAACAAAAAATGGACTCCGGACCCATGCGCTTGCGGTTTTGGATCATAACAAATAAATAGAATACAGACAGCCCCTAGGTGTGGGCGTAATAGATGAATAATGCGAGACAGAGGGAGAATAATTATGCGGATGTCTTGGCTTCCTTGAAGGCTTCTTGCACCTTGGGGTTGCTCAGAACCGATTCGTTGCCAAACTTGATGATGTTCTCCTTATAAGGATGGGCGAGACCTTCGAAAGCTATATCATAGGTGTTAGTGTTGCCACTGATTGCGTGGAGCGAGTCTTGACTATCCGCGCTCCGTCTGATATCCTCCCTCGAAACGGGAAAACTTACTCTTGAGCCGAGCCAGCCGGGGCTCCTGAAGGCGGTTCTTGGGCAGCATGCCCTTCACAGCGCGGCGCAATACCTCTCCACCACCCCATTTGGCGAACATTTGATCCATTGTCATGCTCTTCAAGCTACCGGGGCGAGTCGTGTGGGTATAGTACAGCTTCTGGAAGCGTTTCTTTCCGGTTGTTCGGAGATCATGGCAACCGGCAACAACAACGTAGTCACCGCAGTCCGTCGAGGGATCGTAAATGGGCTTGTTCTTTCCCATCAGGACGAGGGCGATTGAGGAAGCCAGACGGCCGAGAGAGCGTGAGTCCGAGCCAGCATCGACATAGTGCCATGCTCGAGAATAAGCAAGACGAGTCTGAGAAAGATATATGTTAGTCCCACTGGCTATTCTCCGGGAATCGCGGCCCGATATAACAATATCTAGCAATTGCCACCTATACACACCTTGCCGACGGTTTGCGACATCTTGTCAGATGTAAAGAAGGGAGTGGAAACGAAGTGCTAGCAGACCAAACACGCGATCCTTTGCTAGCCAGCAGAGTTCAAAGTTCCCCGAACTTTCTGCCCCCGGTCTCCGCCGCATCAGTCAGCAACCATATCATGTGATCCAAGCCCTAGCGTCAAATGGCACTAACCGGATCCGGGCTAGCCCATCTCTAAGCGAAACCCGCACTTTCAAGGGCAATTCAGGCGAATCGCCGTGGTGTGGGAATTCGCGGTCGACTTCAAGTTCTTTTCCATCTCCCACGACAACACACTCCCTCCCCATCGACACCATGGCTTCCGTCCCGAGTGTGCAATGCTTCGGCAAGAAGAAGACGGGTGAGCTTTTGCGAAATACGATTTGTTCATCTTGAAGATTGAAGTGCTGATATTTTTTTTTTCAATAGCCACCGCTGTCGCCCACTGCAAGGTATGAAGACGACGCCTCACACCCATATCCACCCCCGATTTATACTTCCCTGCGCCAAATGGAACAATGTGAAGGAAAGGAAAAGAAGTGTCTGGGAATAAACGGTGTCGACAACGAAATGTGACAGAATTATTGAAGGAATCCGAAATTTGAGATGTTGTGGGTTAGCAGT